CCCCGCGCCCCTGAGAAGGGACTGCCACATACCTCTCTGCCTCCTGCTCTGCACTCTGCTGCTTGCTCTCGAAGGCGTTGAAGCTGCTCATGTCCACATAGCCATCATTTTCATTTGCCGTGGACAGGGCTCTGCTCTGTTCTTCGAACAGCTTTGTGAAGGTGCCGGTTCGTGCAGGTCTCCGTGGTGGGATCTGGATGTTCTCATAATCTGAGTTCATGGCTGGAATGTTCTCATAGTCTGAAGTGTCAGCGTTGGGGAATGAGATGGACCGTGGCTTAGTGAGCGGCAAGGGCAGAAAGGGCGGGCGGGAGCGGTCTTCGAAGGACTCTACCCTGGACACAGTCCTGCTGAAGGGGACACCTTTCCTCTTGCTGTCCCTGTAGAAGATGAGGGAGGCTGGGGAGTCCGAGGCCCGAAGCTTCCCGGTGCGACACTTGAGCTGGGGTGAGTTGCTAAGGCTCCTGCGGTCCAGTTCCAGGACCCTGGCAGGCCCGTGGTAACTGGATTCAGAAGAGGACCTGGAGGATGACAGGTTCACGTCAGTGTGCGTCTTGTTCTCAGTCTTCTTCCTGAATGTCAACTCCAGGAAGCGCTTAAAGGAGGACTTCTTCTTCTTGGAGGCCTTGTCCAGGGTGTCGCTGTCTGTCAGGAGCGAGGGTGAGCTCTTGGTGATGGGTTTCTTTGTGATGCAGGCCAGGTCGAAAGGTGGTGGGATGTCCACCATGGAGGATGGTGTGGAGGTGCCGCTGGACGGCAGGTGGTTGCGCTGTGAGAAGCTGCCAGAAGAGCCGATGGTGCCCGGCAGAGACAGGTTGTCCTCTTTCCTTCTCACAAGGTGGCTGTCCAGCCCGCCCCCATCTGGCTGCCGGAACATGGACAGGGGACTTTCCCGGCCTTCCACAGAGAAGGACCTTGGGTACAGGGTGAATGCTCTGGGCTTGGCTGGCAAGGCCCGGCTGGTTTCAGGGGGCTTCCCCTCCAGTGACACGCCCAGCTTTCTCACCTCCTCAGTGGCACCTCTCATGCCCATGGCTGATGAAACAGCTTCTGGTCCTGTTTCTTCAGGAACGGTTTCTGGGACATAGCCAGCCACCTTCCCAGAGTGTGGCCGGGCCCTCGTGGCAATATTTTTCTTGTCCACGGACACCAGGCCACCCTCAGCCTCAGAGTCCTCTTCTTCCCTTGTGTTGTACCTACTCAGAGTGCCTGGCGTGGTCCGGAAGTCAGACTGCACTCCCTCTCCACGGCTTGGCAAGCTGACTCCCATCACATAAGGGTTTCTGAGTGCGTCGTCCATGGCATCCTCCTCTTCTGGCATGACCACCACGTCAGGGACAGGGAGGCCTTCCCCAGTTCCACCCAGCAGAAAGTCACGTTGGTTAAGTGAAGTGCCAGGGCCTGGGACCTCTTCTGGCTCCTGTCCTGATGCAGAGCCTTTGACTGACTCAGAAAGGGAATAGTTCTCACTGCAGAAGGAGGTGCTCTCAGTGGGAAGGAGCTCGTAGGGACTTTCTGTGAGTGTAGATGTGAAGTCCTCCACACTGTCACTCTCAAAGGGAATGATCTGACAGCTCTCCTCAGCAAGGTCCTCCTGCATAGGGTCCCTGTCCTCGCCAGGGTCTTCTTCCACTCCTGTGATGGCCGCTGCAGCTTTACTATTGTAGGTGTCCTCATCCCAGTTGGGTGGTTCCTCCTGGTCTGCCTGGTCCTCACTGACAGGAACATCTTCACAGTTCTCCTCAGAGACCTCAGGGCTCTCAGTGTCCACCTCAGGTCCCTGGATATTGGGGTGCACCTCCCCATTCTCAGGGGATTCCACACTCGCACCCTCCGTGTCCTGTTCAGTGTCCTGGTTGTGTCTAGCAGGCTCCACACCCCCATCAGGCTCCCTGGGCTCAATGTTGATACAGCCATCCCTACCATCCTCCGCTGCCTCCCTAGGGGTCTCGGTGCACTCCAGCTCCCCATAGGGAACTTCAGGGGACTTGGCGCATACATGGGTGAGAATGATCTCGCTCTGGAAGTGCTTCTCTCCATCCCAGGGCCCCGTGTCCTCCAGGTTGTACACATTGTGCTCTTTTACCAGCTCTTCCTCCTCCTCACTTGTGGACATCTGCTCCTCTGACCCCGGGCCCTGGTCACAGTCCCCTTCACCTTCCTCACCATCTCTACTTGGCGCCCCTTCAGCTGGGGACACTGGGGTCCCATCTGACCCTAGATCACGGCCACAGTCTTCCTCTTCTTCCAGAGAGGGGTCCATGTCTTCCTCACCATCCCTGCCTGGTGCAACATCTGGGACTGACAGGTCCCCATCAGCGCCTGTCTGCTCTAGACCATGCTCCTGGCCTTCCTCCTCACATTCCTCTTCTCCAGTGGCCCCAACCATGGATGTGAGCTCTGCTGCCTGTGGAGCCCTGGGAACCATGATGTACTCTTCATCTGTCTCTGACTCAGAGCACTCCGGGGTGGAGCGGTGTGGGCCAGCCAGCCCCCTGTCCCCACAGAGCAGCCTCCCGTTGCTGCATCTGCTCAGGCTCTTGTTCAGGCACACAGCAGCTCCATACTCGGGGCTGGCCAGCCTGGGCTTAGGGGCAATGGGGGGTTTTGGCCCCCTGGACATGGAGTTGGGACTGGGGAAACTGTCTGGCCTGGGTGAAGGAGGAAACCCGGCTCCAGTCACTGGCGTGAGAGGACTGGTGGTAGTCTTTGGCTTGGGAGCAACTGGTGGTTTGGGTGAGTCTAAAGGATGAAAACAGAGAAAAGGAAAACAGAACAATAACTTTCTATTCAGAATCTTTTCACATATCCTCATCAAGAGAACACAAAGGAGAGTCCCCAGGGCCCTGTGACTTGGCTCTATCCCCTCTACCACACCTTCAAAATCCCTTAACAAGGCTGGAGATGTAGCTTGGTAGAGTTCTTACCTAACATGAAGGAAGCCCTAGGTTTGATTCACAGTACCACTTAAGCCAGGCAGGATGGTGCAAACCTTAACCCCAGCACTAGGTGATGGCAGGAGGATCAGAAGTTCAAGGTCATCCATAGCTTCATAATGACTTCAAGGCCAACCTGAGCTATACCAGAACCCATCTTGAAAAAAATTCTCTGATCTTACACTAAGAATTCATTCTGTGGATGATATGAACTGAGCTTCCTCCACATGATCCAGCTGAACTAAATCTTATGCTTTTGAACAATGTGCTCAGATCTTTTGATTCATTCATCCAAAAGCTACTTATTGAATGCTTTCTGTGTCATGATACCATGAGAAAATGGTGAACTTGACAGCCACTCTCACAGAGTCCTCACAGAGCTCACATTCATCAGTACCCAAGTGCTCAGCATTGCAGATAGAGTCTCTTTGGCTGCTCCAGAGAGGAATCCACTGCTGCGTTATAACAGCTGGGAGACAGAGCTGTGGCCCCTCGGGACACAATGACTGAATGGCCATTGTTTCATTCCTTCAAGAATGACACACCAGAGGTTTGCAACGGGGATGTATGGCTCTGTTGAGAGTCTTGTCTGAAGTCTGCATGCTTTAGGAGTGTCCAGCCAGCACCCCCAAATGTCATGGAAGAAATGAAATGCTAAGTGCCAATATGGGCAGCTGCAAAAGGTCATATCCCTCATGGATGCTGAGGTCTGCTGACAGGTGGATAAAGGATTGGTGCAGGCTACACATGCAACAGGAGCTAGCCAGACATGATTGCCTTGGGCTAGGAGGCCTCTAGGAGAAGGTGCTCACATTTTGCAGGGTTGGGCAAGCTAGACAAGGAACAGGCCAAGGGTACAGTGGCCAAGGTCAAAGTCCTGGGTTGGTCCTGAACAGCCAGCTGGAGTGGCTCCCAAGACTCCCCACCTGCTCCTTAAACCCCCTTCTGTACTTCAGCAGAGCAAGCTTTTCAGACATGCAACTCTGTCCTGATACCCCTACTTCCAAAGCATGGCCTGGATGCCCACTGCACTTGGACAGGCCTCATTTCTAATCTGTATATCCCTGCTGAGGCCCAAGTGTGACAGTGGCTACAGAATCCAGCCTGGCTCCTGACCCAGGAGAAGACAGAGCAGAGGGTCTGAGGTCTCTGAGCAAACTATTCTCTTCCCCTACTTACATGTTGGAGCACCTACTACCAGCAGCTCTAATCCAAGGCCACACCTGTCATTTCATGTGAATTTTAGAGTCTTGCTTTGTATCCCAGGCTTGTCTCAAATTCATGAATTCTCCTGACCCAGGCTCCTGAGTGCTATGATTGCAGGTGTATTCCATTATAGATAGATAGATAGATAGATAGATAGATAGATAGATAGATAGATGATAGATAGATAGATAGATAGATAGATAGATAGATATACATATTAAAAAAAAAACCTCTCACAGCCATACTAAAAAGTAAATGCCAGGCTAGGCATGGTGGTCTTAATCCCAACACTCAGGAGACAGAGGCAGGCGGATCTCTGTGAGATTGACACCAGCCTGGTCTACATAGCCAGTTCCAGGCCTTCTGGGGCTACAGGGAGACCCTGTCTCAAAAAGACAAAACACAACAAATAAAAAAACAAAAAGTAAATGCCAGGTGTGGGGGTGGTCTACCCTAGAGCCCCAGTTAAGCAGGAGCTGGGGGAAGGGGATCACTTGAGCCCAAGAAATCAGCATCTAGCCCGGGTTACACAGGGAAACATCTCAAAAGAAAAAGAAAAGTGTGTGAAAGTCACTTTAACAAAATTTCACTCATATCTAAACATTGCTGGGAACTGTGGAGCATACCTATTATCTCAGAACTTGGGAAGCAGAGGCAGAAGGGTCTAGAGTTTAAGGTCAGCCTAGGCCACATGAGACCTGCCTCAAAAAAAAATAGGAGACTGAGGAGATAGTCCTGTTGATAAAGATAAATCCCTTGCTATGCAAGCATGAGAACTTGAGATCAATTCCCAAAACCCATGTAAAAAAGCCAGGTATAGTGTCAGAGCTTATAATCCCAGCTCTGGGGAGGTGAGAACAGGTGCATCTCCAGGACTCACTGGCCAGCCAGTTTAGCCCACTTGTCAAGCTCCAGGCCAGTGAAAGGCCCTTCCTCAAAACAAAAACAAAAACAAAAAACCCAAGGTAGGCAGTGTCTGAGGAATGATACCCACAGTTGTCTTCTGACTGCCACACAGATGGGCACACAATATACATATACATACAAACACACAAATAAAAATCCAAATATCATTTCAGTAGAGTTCACAGTAACAATTTTTACTTTATGATGACATGAAAGAATCATACAGTCCTTCTGAGTTTCACCTCTAGTACAGTAGCCAATGAACCACATTAGATGTCCAGGTCATGAGTATAGAGCAGGTTTTGTGGGGGATAACTTGGTCCAGCTATAGGGGAAGACAAGGGTCCTCAGAGTGCTTTAAGGTAGGCTGCATGGAGCTAGCAGGTTCGAGAGGTAGGTGTGTGGTATGCACTTTTGACTTAGGATGTTTCTAACTTAGAATGGCTTTATGGGGATATAACTCCATTATAAATTTAGGAGCATCTATAATAGTTCTACAAAGTTTGTGAATGATCTGGTTAATAGTCTCTTTCCATTCTAAGATTTTGAAATGGAATACAGCATCTCTGTTCATATCAGCCATATGTATAGTACTTGAGAGTGGCAGTTAAACTCAGAGTTTGGACAGCTCAGTGGTACTATCCCATGGGCACCTCAATGCCAGTGAGTTGGAAGCCAAAGTCAGTATCCTGTTCCCTAACTGCCAGGACTCTGTCAAGTTCAGGGCACAGTAACATTAACGGGACTGTGCATGTCACCTGTTCCCAAGGGGCTGAGTCTTGGGACCTCTACAACTATACTGAGCCCGAGTGTCTGATGGACCATGTCTGTTCCCCAGCATGGGCTACTTTGACAGCGTGCAGGACGGGCCAACCTGGGTTCAAAATCTGGCTTGGCTGCTTAGGATCTGTGGAACTGAGCCTCAGTTTCCCCATCTGTAAAATGGGGACAGCTCAGAAGTTCCCCTGAGGATTCTATGAAAGTGGAAGGGTATATTATAGAAGTGCTTCCTGTAGGCATTTGCACAAGAGGAGCTACTCACACAGGTGCTGCTGCTGGGTGGGGATTCCATCTTCTCAGCATGAGTCCAGTCCTATCTGTATACTACATGATATCAGCTGCCAGCTCACAGTATCAGGTGTCAGGTATTGCCATGAATTATTCTTTGGGGGTAGGGTCTCTCATTTCTCATCCTTAACAGGTGGCATTTCACACAGGCACCATGAGACATAACTGAGGAACAGACAGGCCATGAAAAATGACTGTCACCCTGGCTGCATGGTCTCCATTCCCAAACCATCCTTCATCCAATCAAGCTATTGATCTGTGGGCACCCGTTCCTTGAGAAAGGTTAGAATCAGGGTCTGAGGCGTGATCCTGCAAGAAAATGCCTTCCGCAGAGGAGCCCAAGGAACAACATGCACTCAGCATCCAGCGCTGAAGTCTACAGTGCTCTGAGCATCCCCTCTGTAATCAAGGGACACATCAAAAATGCTTTGGCCCCTCATGACAACCAAGGAAAACAGTGTGCACAGAGAATGGGTAACCGGTATGGGGTCACCCGGGGGGCGCAGAACAGTCCTGGGGAGAAACCTAGGTTTCCTGCTTCCTGGTCCAGCCTCCTGACCCTCTGTCTTCACCTTTTCTCATGGAGTCTTCCCTCCACAGTAGAGACCCAGAAATCCCAGCACCAGTGAAGAGAGGGCAAAATGCAAGGAAACTGAGGCAGAAAAACAGAGACAGCTTATCATCTGAAAAACGCGCGGAGGGCAGGATCTGGGCCTCACTGTACTCACTGCAGTGTGACTAGCTGGCTCTGACTTGCTCCCGCTTGATTCTCTTTAATCCAGTTCCAGAAGATAATATTAACTGAGCACCGATTGTGCAGGTGCTAACAGAAACCCTGGCCCACAAGGCCTTTGTGTAGATTCTCTGGACATGCTGTCAAATCCAGGATCTTATATTGGGAACTGGTGGGAGATTAAGAAGAGAAAGGGTTAGTCATTTATGTCCTGTGTGCTATGTAAGAGGTGAGTTGTGCAACTTGAAACAGTGGCCTGGACAGGGCTCACAGAGGGGACATGAAGATGTAGAAAAGGAGGAAGAAGCCAGGACTCATTAGTGTATCCAAGAGACAGAGGGAAGCCAGGACTGAGGGAGGGGGAGAGAACAGTGTAGGTGGTGGGGGATGAGACCTGAGGATACCTGGACTTTTCCTCAGGGGTAGGGGGCAGGGTGAGCAGCAGGGCTAGCAGGAGGACCCACACATGTTGGCTAAGCTTGCTGAAATGGGTGGAAGTGGTGAGGAGGAGGCAAAGGACCAGTGAGGAGACTTTTGGGAGATGCCAGGCAAGAGTGATGGAGCCCGAACCAGGTTGTGGCAACAAGGAGTCAGAGTCTGATGGTGAAGTAGAGCTGAGAGGATACACGGATGGAGTGGACGTGGATGTGGAAGAAAGAAAAGTTGTCAGGTAATGCTGAGGCTTGGAGCCTATGTACTCAGAAAGGTAAAATTGTGTCAAGTTTACCTGCAACAGCCAAGATGGCTGGGACTGGGGGGGAAGCCCAGGATTTGGGTTTGTTGAAGTCGAGGTGCGTTACCTATCACATGCCTAGCGAAGATGCCTGTTGGGTTCTGAGCCCTAGGGACAGGTCTGCTGTAGGTGGCCATGATGGAGATGTGGTGGCAGGCATGAGCAGGCAGAAGCAGGGCCCAGGAGGGAACCCTGGGGGCACTAGCCAGCAAAGGAGGCTGAGGAGATGGAAAAAGAATGTGTGTGAGGGCAGCCTGGCTCACTCCTGCCCATTGCCCTGACAGATGGAGTGCCTGCCTCCAGGAAAGGTATTACGGTCTAAAGACAAGCAACACTGGAGGGCATGCTGAGGGACCAGGGTCACAATGGGAGAAGGGGCTGGGGACAGAGGAGCCAGCAGAAGGGGGACAGCTTGCATAGTGCCCAGTGGCAGTAAAAAGCCCTTTGCGGGTCCTGTACAGCCTGGCTGCTAGGCTTTAGAGTCTGGGAGGTCTGGGAGGTACAGGCAAATCAGTGCTGGGTTTGTTCTTCTGGGCTAAGCTTAACTTCTGGACTGTGGACCTCAGGGGGACCTGGCTGGGACACCCTCTGCCTGCCTGGGGGCTTTCTCTTTCCCTGGAAGTGACATCTGCCTCACCCCAAGTCACCAAAGCCCACAACTCCTGGTAATTTGCCATGACTGGGGATGGTGCACATGTGGAACACCCCTTTAGCCAAGACGCTAACTAGGGAGTGGGGGCTCCCTGATGACAGGAGGAAGAAATTTTAACAGCTTCTAGTGATACAAATCATCCCCAGCCAGCTCCCTGGTACGCAGTTGATATTTTCTCTCTGTGTTTTAATTAAATATCTGTCACTCACACATTCATGCTTACTGCTCCCTTGCAGCCATGGTGAAGTTAGGTTCCATGGGGAAGAACCCTGGACAGGAAGCTCAAGAGCCTTAACCTATCTTCTTGGCTAAGTCACAAACTGGATATCATCCTGGTCAAGTCTTTCCCTTTCCTGAGCCTCAGTCTCCCTACTTGTAGAGTGAAGGGACTAGACCAGCCAATCTTGTCAGCTCTTTCAACTCAGGACTGTTCTTGCAAAGTCCTGACACCCAACCCCAGTCCCCAAGTCTGTTTCACCTGCGATTCACTCCACATCCCCCAGGAGCACTCATAACCATATGTTGCAAGAGTAATTATCTTCCAATTTCACCTTGCAATGCATCTTAATTTAACATCCATTACTAGGTGCCTGCTGGAGAGTCTAAGCCAGGCCTGTTGGCTTCTAATTAGGCGGCTATTAAGCTTGTCCAGTGATCCACGATAGGGCACTTCCCAGGAAGGTATCAAGGGATGCAATGGGGAGAGCTGGGCCTGGGGTCTGGTGCCAACCCTGCCACATACAGCGGTTTGGCCTCAGGCACATCCCTTTGGTTCTGGGAGCCACAGCTTCCTTCTTGATACAAAGGGAGAACTATTCACCTTTTCACAGGGCTATTGAGAAGTTCAAGGAAACTAACAGGCACAAAACACCCAAAAATGTCAACTGGCAAACATTTCCCATGTACCACAACTACGCCTATCCAGTTAGGCCAGGATAAAAATGCCGGCTCTGAAACAACAATCTATGCTTCAATCCTGTCTCAGCCTCTGGATGGGTCAGTACACCTCAGTTTTCCCATCTGTGAACTGGGATAGCAACCGTATCTACCCCATCAGGCTACTGTGAATACTGAGAGAACTGCTAAGTTTCTGGGAAACATAAGCTTCATTGGTTGCTTATGAGGGATGCTAGTCTGGTCAGTTTAAATGCCTGTTAGTGAAGAACAAGAGCTCAGTTGCAAAGATTTTACCCCATTTTTCAGAAAAATAAGCTGAGGGACAGCTGCTAAGGAAACTGCTCAAAGTCGCATAAGTAAACATAAGGCACCACTGAGATTCAGTCCCAGGGAGTCTGGGAGCTGTACAGCATACAGAGAGCATGGTACCCACAGGTCTTGGTGGGAGGCTAGCACATAGGGAACCATGACTGTGGAGACAAATTACTGGACAGCTGAATCCAAAAAGACTTTCCAGGACCAAACCTGCCTCTAAGTTTGCTGGGCTCTCTATCCCCCAGATTCTCAGAGAAGGGAGGGTGTGCTCAAACCTCCTGCAGGAAAATGTGGGAAAGCTCAACTGAACCTCCCCATTGTTACAAGGCAGTTTCATTTAGAAGTGTAGGAAAAGCCAGCCTGACTCTGTCCAGGCTGTACCAGCACTGGCTGAAGGCAACCTTTCCCCAGGCACAGGGCCTTGGGACCCCATTCCAGGCTCACCCACTCCCATAAAATGGTCCCCTGCTCCTGGCTCTCAATTCTGTGACCCATATTAACTGCCAGGTATCCACACACAGCAACATCAAGGCCTGGACACAGGTCCTACTCCCTAGTCCTTTGTCAAATCAGTGCAATGTCCTGCCACACCTAGCTCCCAAGACAATGGCTGTTTTCTGTAAAACAATCTTTAAAACGAAAGAAAAAAAGCAACGAGAGAGAGAGAGAGAGAGAGAGAGAGAGAGAGAGAGAACGAGAACGAGAACAGGATACCGTTCAAGACAGCCAAAATGGTGGCTTCCTGTTTCTTTGGGGATGTGTTGGGAGTGTGGCTTTGCACAGGGTGTTGGGTGGGGAGGGGGTTCCAGGTTGCCTCCTGCGAAATTCTAACAGAAAAGGAAAGCAGGGCAGGATTGCTCCCCAGCAGGTGGGTCTAGTTAGCTGGGATTGTTCCCTGGTAAGACGCTCATCTTTGAGAACTTTCTGGCTTCCCGTGCTTGCTGGGAATCCCAGGAGGATGAAGCTCGGTTCCAGGCACCGCCCATCTGAGGCTCACTTTCTTAATCTGTTAAATGGCACTCCTCCGGAGGAATCGCTATATTTCTCTTAGAACACTTTCTGGTTCCCTGGAATCCCTGACCTGGTGAAGTCGGATTCACACATATGGAGGAGAGGGGGACCCGTCGGCGTGGGTCCCCCAGCAGAGTCCCGGTTTAGGGGCTGAGATCCGGTGCGCCCAGGGCACAACTCGGGCTTCCCGTGGCTTCTGCAGGCAGATCCCGAGACCCGGGGTCTGCGGCAAGAGCCAAGTGTGTCTGGCCCGGGAGGACCAGAACAGACTGTGGCGTCGGGGCCAGGCAGGACCGCCGAAGGGCAAGCGGGGATCCATGGGGTATCCGGAGGAAAGAGGAGAAAGATTGGAGGGCGCGACCAAGTCGCCTGGGCTAGAGGCGCGTCCTCGTTTTCCGAGGGAGCCTCCCTCGAGTGCCCCGCGGCAGGACCGGACCCGACTCGGAGCGCCCGCCGGCCGTGGTGCGCGCGGGGTTCCTACCTGCTCTGTGCATCTTCCTGCGCGGAGCCCAAGGCCGGGTCGCTGCTGGGGTCCGTCGGTCGGGCGCGAGTCCCGGCTCCCGCTCACTCCACGCGCCCGCCGGCCCCGGCCCGGCCCGCCCCCGGGCGCAG